TCAGCCCCCTGTCACCCGATCTTGAGGTGACGTACGACACCTCGTTTACTCAATCAATGTCTGAAATGCTACACACGTCGGATATGAGGACAAAAGCGCGGGTAATTTTGGCACCACTGTACAGTGGTGCCAAAATCGTTGGGTGGGTTCATGGCTAGAGCCCTTTTTACCGCCGTGAGGCGGGCGCGCGCTACTGCAAGCGCAAGGGCTCTGGATAGAGCAAGTCTTTATCATAATGAGTGATTCAATAGGTACTGATCATACCGTTGGTATTTGTCTTGAGAAGTTAACAATTAAGTTAACAGTTAAGTTAACAGTTGGCCACTGAAAATAATTTAAATTTCGATGTAAAGGTATTTAGCACATAGTATAGTACTATGGAGTATGGATCGGTAATGATATTCATAGATGTACAGAATAAACCCTTGCAAGCAGAGCTAGAGGCGGCTATTGAGGGTGTCCTGGCGTCCGTGGACGCCCTAAAATTATTATCTGGTGGCTGGTGCTTGAAAATAGAAATAGTGATTAGTAATAGTATTCGAAAATATCTAATCGCAATATAAAGCTCTTTATTCACTCAAACGTTCGATTTGGACAACTAAGCCGCAGTTTTAACACAGTCAACACATTTCAAATTGTTGCTATAATTGATTTAAATAAAAATTTGTTGTTTTCTTGAAATTTGTTGTTTTCTTGAGTTAATTGTAAACGGTACAAAGCACATCAAGCGCATCCCACTACAGGTAATTTATATGATTTGGTCATCCAGGACACTTTGCAATTTGAACTATTGACTGCTATGATACTGCGCGGCTGAGGTCGTACACGTGTGGTGTCCTGTTTCACCCATGTTATTTAACTCAGACCTCTTCAAAGTTTCGTCACACAACCAGTTATTTGAAGACACTATAATTAGTAATGGTTTGTATCCATCCATCTCAATTGCTACCCACTTCCGGCCTAACTGTAAAAACTCGTGTATAGATAACATCCTAGTTAGTGATATTGATAATGTTTTGCTCTCTGGTGTACTTCAGGATAGATTAAGTGAACACACGTTCATATTCTCCTTCACCTCAACCCCGGCCCCAAGAAATAAGAACAATGAAAAACATGTCCGCTACTACGACTACTCAAGTGCCAAGCTTAAAAATTTTGTTTCTGACCTTGAGGTGAAGGTGAATCAGCTGTCCCAATCTTCAGATTTTTGCGAATTTGTCGATTGCTTCACATCCACCCTTGACAAGCACTGTAAATTAGAAGTACCGAAAACGACCAAAAGAACACCAAAGCTTAATCCTTGGATTACAGATGGAATCATCCTCTCAATCGACAGAAAACATGAGCTTTGTAAAGAATGGTCAGATACAGTAACAAATAAAGATCCATCTGGCAATGTCCTTCTTTATAAGATATTTAGTGACTATCGTAGGATGCTTAAGGGTATCATAAAGGCAGCCAAACGCTCCTATTACTGTAACGAAATCTATAAAAACATTGAAAGCAGTAAGACAACTTGGCAGATAATAAATAAGCTTAGGGGCAAAAGAAAGAAAACAACCAAACCACCTTTTATCATCAATAATGAAAGAATCTTGAACCGGAGAGCAATTGCCAATGGTTTTAATTCCTGGTTCGTATCAATTGCTCCCAAGCTCAATGAAACTATCACAACCGACTTGTCTTCTGGTATTCCAATTCTCCCCATGAAAACATTCCATGACTTCCTTAGCCCTAGTAACTCTCGATCTATTATGTTAGAGGACAGCACTCCTGAGGAGGTTCTAAGAATAATCAAAGAATTCGAGAACGGAAAGGCCAGTGATATTCCCATAACCGTTATTAAAACTTCGTCCCACGTTATTGCACCAATTATCAGCAGATACTTAAACAAACTTATGTCAAATGGTATATTCCCTGATATACTTAAGACTGGCAGAATCACACCCGTATTCAAAAAAGGTAATCCAGAAGAAATAGAAAACTACCGTCCTATATCCACCTTGTCCATATTTGGCAAAATATTTGAGAAAATAATAATAATAATAAATACAACTTTTATAAACCGCCTTATAGCTAAATCATATAACTCGATATAATTTAATCCTGGAGATAAACTCCAGTGCTTTCTAAAGCGGCTCTTACATTAACTGAGCTTAGTTTAATTGAAAATTAGACATGACAAGTTCATTTTACCTATGTAAATGCAAAATCAATCAAATTGAAGCACCATGTGTTAGGCATATTCATCGACTCAGCAAAGCTTTCGATACTATAGATCACTCAACATTACTTACCAAACTAGAAAGGTATGGCATCCGTGGCGTGGCAAACGATCTGATCAAGAGCTACCAAACTAATCGATTCCAGTACACTGATGTTGTAGGAGAAAAGTCCGACCTACTTCCAATAAAATTTGGGGTTCCCCAGGGGTCAATTCTCGGACCCCTTTTATTCCTACTTTACATAAATGATATCTCTAATAGCTCTAGCTTGGGATCGTTTGTCACCTTTGCGGATGACACCAACATATTTGTTGTTGGTAAAACTGCACAAGAAGCATATGAACGCAGCAACGCCCTACTTTCAAACCTTCAAACATACATGCGGGCTAACAAGCTTCACATAAACATGTCAAAATGCTGCTACATTCACTTTAGACCTAAGTCACGTACTGAAGCAAACGTTGAAGAAGAATTCATAATGAATATAGACAACTACCCCATCAAAAGAGTAACGTCAGCTAGATTTTTAGGAGTCGTCATTGACGAAAATCTAACATGGGAAGAACATATAATAGCCCTAAAACGAAAGCTTAACCATGCCACCTCAACTCTGTGTCGTCTACGCTGCTCCCTCCCAGAATTTCTCCACAGACAGTTATACTACACTCTTTTTGAATCCCATCTGTCGTACTGCATATCAGCATGGGGTGGGGCAGCTAAAAATCGTATAAGCTCAATATTCACTGCACAGAAGTACTGTCTGAGGGTCTTGTTTGGTGATAGAAACAGCCTACCTGGATAAATTCAAAACGTGTGTTCGAACCAGACCATTTACTGACCAGAAACTTGATAGTAAATTTTATAAAAAGGAGCACACTAAACCTCTGTTTAAAAACAACGAGATACTCACTGTACAAAATCTTTATACTTACCATAGCTACATAGAATTATTCAAGATCATGAAGTTTTCTACTCCTATGTCTATGTACGAAGAGTATTCTCGTTCTTCCAGGAAACCAATGCTTATTATCTATAAACCGGATCCCCCAGACAACCATAACACGAGGTCAACGAAAATATGGAATATAATAACCCCTAACCTTAAAATCTTTGATTGTTCTGTTAGTATTTCTTGCCTGAAATCCAAACTGAAATCTTCACTACTTTCCAACCAGCATTGTCATGCCGTGTATGACTGGACAAATAAAGACTTTGATATATGTAACCTTAAATTTTCGTAGGCTCCTGCAGGGATTCCACCTGACCTCCAAAATTTCATGACCAAATCGACTTACTCTGCCAGCGTATTCCTCTGTCAAGTTAAATGTGATGTGTGAGTGAGTAAGTGTAGTGTAAAGATATCCTATTTTTGTATCCAATTTGAATTCTAATAAAGACCCTAAGCATTATGATCAAATTTTTAGTACAATAGTTATATCAGGGTTGACATCTATGATTAATATTATAACCCAATTTCATTTCTTTTTCTCCCTTAAATTTAAACCCCTCTTAGACATTTAGCCATGATTTAGTATTGAACACCCAAAATACTTACCGTCCTTAATAATCGTAAAGACCATTTGTTACAAAATAGCTGCTAGAATAATGCATGCCAAATATTCCCTCTTACACCCACAAATTATAATGCCTTCCTATCAACGCCTCTAATTTGGTCACTAATCAACCAGACTAGCGTTCTGGTGTGTACAAAAGCTACCAGCCAGTACATTCCTTGCCCCGCTAGTTGATTGTCAAAAAATCATACAGCTCTGAACAAACGGCCATTTACCACTAAGAGCATTATATGTTTTCATTTGTTTAAATTTTATGCTGTAAAATGTGCTAAAACTTTGATTATTTGTTTAAAAAAAAAAAAAAAAAAAAAAATCCCAGTGTCACCTAGTCTAGGGACTAGGGAGTAGCTAAGGATCCATTGGATCTATGCGGTCTCCTCGGTTGATTTAGCCGAATGATAGGAAACTTGATTGAGGGTTAAATTAGGAGGGGTACCTGTTAAAAGTTCAAGAAACTTCCTAGGATGCCCCTTCAGTACATGATACTGTAAACATAGTACATACTGTAAACATAGTACTATGATTTGTGTGGTTTTGTCTTCAATATTATTTTTGTCCCATCATTCAGGGCTTTCCAGTGGCGTAACGTTTCATGTTGGTGCCCCTGGCTCGTAGCGTGCCCCTCCCTTTTTAAAGTAGAAAGGTAAAATTAGACAAATTATGTGATTTGAGAGGATTTGAGAGGATTCACAGTTGTCCTGAACAAATGCAAAATATAAATAGTACTTAAGTTCAGTATTTCAAAATTGTGACCTGTCCCACATTCAAACGACCATTTCACGCATTCCTAAAAAATTAATTACACCTCAGCTCTGCTTAGGCTTGAGAAAGTTTATTTCGTTTGACCTGTTTTTATCTGTCTAAAAATGTTATCCTTGTTTGTCCAAAAGATGTTGATTGTTGTCCCTAACTGGTTCAATAATGTAAAGGACAGTGCACCCCTATTCTTGTATAAATTTCTTGTTCATTTCATGTATTTCATGATTTATTAAATCATATTATGGTTAGATTAATCGAATCAACTGTAACTTTGATAAAGCACACAAGGACCATTCACTTATGTTAGGTTTCAGCCTTTTATACCTAACGTAACTGGCTGTAAGCCATTTTACACATAGCTATTGTGTTGAAATAACATTAATAAGCATTTTAATCTGTTGTTTTGTTATATTCCCTTAACGTAAAAACCTTACCTAGTCTGATGACAGCTGATGAAAAGCTATTTTTAGAAGAAAACGTAGATTTACCTCCTGGCTTATTTAACAAGCGGAGCATGGGGTCCATCACTATCCCACCTCAACTGAACAGTGCAAAAGAGTGGGTCCTTTCTAAGAGAGAAAGCCTTCGTCCCTGGCAAGAATTCGGTAAGAACTCCTTTTTTATATTTTTTGTTACTTTAGTTATAAAGAGTTTAAATTTAAGACATTACCTTCAAAACTTTTATTGCAAGACAAACAAACCCCAATTTACCACAGAGTGTGGGGAAATAAAAATTAATCAATACCTTGTTTTGAAAATCAATCTAATTATGAACATTTAAAAAAAATATGACCGGGTTAATTAGAGTGAACACATGTTACATCACAATGCTCCATCTCTCCCAGGAAACTACAACAGAGCAAGTAAACCAGGAAATATATCCGTTATTTCACGAAGAGTTACTCACAATGTCTCCTACTACTACACCAACTACGCTTTCATTAGCACGCTTCTTGTTGTCTACTGCATGTAAGTGTGTTATAAGTTATTTTGTATTCATTTATCAACATTTTTTTCTTCTGTTGGATGATTTTGGTCCCGGAATAAGATCGGATATATTTGTTATTATTCGAGCTGTGATGTGATTAGCCGAGATTTCAAACAATTTCATTTTATCGGCAGTAAGCCGAAAAACGGATCATGATTAAATTTGTGTATCAAGGTGAACCGGAACATGATATTGACACGATTACTATACTTGTCAAGTTGTCAGGCTGGTCACAATATTTGGGGATTAATGTTAACTTCTTCAGAATCTCCTCGCCTCTGCTGCTACTGGCTATAGTTGTGTCGGGGACTGCCTGTTATCTTCTCAGTACACAGAAAGAAGGAAAAACTCTTCAGATAGGAGGTTTGTTATTTTTTGGTTCCGCTGACTATGAACATTCCTGCTTTTGTTCTAGTCTTAATTCAATCAGATCACAAGTTGTTCTGACTGGCGAATACAAGATGATGTTACAGCCCCTATCAAAATTCCTGAGAAAGTGCGATGTGACTGAATTATGGGGATTTAAAAGTGCGATTGTCACGTGTCACGTGCAGTGACGAAACGTACTTGTTTGAAATTTACTGTACATATGTCGTATAATAAATAGTATTTATTTTAAAACAACTAGTTTCTTCACACATCTAATTGCAGGCCACACGTTCACCCCAAAAGATCAAGCAGTTGTTTGCGCCTGTATCTCACTCCCACTGCTTTTCTTTGCCTCCGCTGGAACTGTTATATTCTGGGTTATTGGTAAGTTTTTTCATCGGTTTTGTGTTTGCTTATTTAATTAGAAGCTGAATAATAATTTGTGACCTGCATTCCTACTGTAATTTGAGCTTTGGCACGATCCGGTCTTAGCCAATGAAAATCTTGTTTATTGGGTGACACAAATGAAACAGTTTGTTAGGGAATGTACCGTTAGTAAGACGATTAAAACAGTGTCATAGCACGGTGAACTAGAACTACTGATATGATCTGCGACATGTTCATGTTCTAAAAATACCTCCTCCGAAGAGATTTTACTAGAACACTATCAGTTATATGAAATAATAACCAATGTTAACTTGCTGTCACGTGATCAGTTATATGAAATAATAACCAATGTTAGCTTGCTGTCACGTGACTTCACACCCACCCAGGTCTAACATGTAGTGTGGTTGGTGTACACGCGTCCATGATGCAGCTACCTAACGAAGATGGTACTGAGTTCGAGATGAACGAAAGTGTTTAACATCTACAGTCCCTCTTATTGTTCAGAATAGGTAACGTTACACGGACATTTGATTGGTCAGCAGTGGTCATGTGACTCGCTTTAAGGAGATTTTATTGGTCGTGTGTTGTCACCGTGACAACACACGTGACAATGTCACGTGGCACATGAGATGGTGCGTGAGAACTTTATTAATTTGATGTAATTACTCTGAGACAGTATTAAATAGGGTATTTTCTCAGAGGATTAAGATTTTAATTAAAGTGAATTAGTTAAATCAGAGGATTGAGATTTTAAAGGAAATAAATAAACTAAATAATAAAGATAATTTACACATTTCGATAATTTTAGAAAGTAGAAACTTGGGTCTAACAAGGAAATTTATTTACAATGCATGAAGAAGCTATTACTTCTGTTATAGAAGTATTTAAATCTTCAACTCATCCCTCTAGGGAGAGATTCCAGATTTTATGGAATGTTCACTTAGTATTATTAGCTAATTAGATTAGGTGAACTTAAAAGGATTAAACGTTTTTGATCATGAATATGTTAACAGTAAATTATTTAAACTAATTTGTACGCAGTTTGCAACTTTATCGTCATTCCATTCGAAATTTGTGATGCTGTATTTAGCTGTATAGTTGAAATTATTTATGAAAATTGAAAACCTTGTTTTGTCTCCTAAACACTCACTTGATAATGGTATTAAACTCAATAATACATAGAGAATAATATCACCCAAGTTACATGGACCATTTATATAATTTACCACACATTGCATAACCCACAGGCCACATGTGACCCCGTACCCAGCAACGTCGACATGTTTGATGCGGCTTTGTGGCGGTGACTTTTACCTGCGGGCGCGGACGCCGCACCGATTTTATCTAATCTAGACGGCGCGCACGTACCGTCTTTTGATGACGTATTTGCGCGCTGATGCTAGCTAGCTTAGCGATATAATATGATGTCGAGGGGTTTATTATATACCTTAATTCCCAAAAATTTGAGCGGGCCTCTCGCCCAAATTTTTTGCAGACCAAATTAACTGCATAAATCTTTTCCGTCTGCTAAATTTTTTGCTAACCAAACTTTTGGCATTTGGCCTGTGGCCCTGAAATCTATAAAAAGATGGCTTTTTCTTCGTATCCAAGTGAAATAATATTTGAAATTTTAGTTTTCTAATCTGTCATTCATGGCTTGACCAAGTAAAAAGGCTTATATTTTAAATGAATAGAAATAACTGGAATAGCTAACAGCTACTAATAAAACAAATGGCTAGAGGTACGGATAGCTAGAGATTTAAACAAGATCTGCAAATGGATTATTATCCACCGTAAAGTCTGATCTACAAGCATCAGTTATACCCGACTTCTCAAAGCCTTTTCCTTATGTCATCTGGCCTCCCTTTTAAATATACAAAAAGTTCGTTGATCCAACGAGCGTGTACTTCACGCCTCACGGATCACTGTCAAGCGGGTATCAATTTAAAAATTTATCATCACTGTATTTTTTTAGTAGTTACTGGGCAGATCGTAAATTTCATAATGTAAAACAACTCAGACTACCACCTAAATGCTTAAAATTGAAAGCAAAATGATTGGAATGATAAGGAATAATAATGAACTAAGGCAAATATCTAACTGAAATTTTAGTGGAAAATCGTTCATTTTTCGAAGAATTTGTGCCCAAATTTTCGGTCGCCCAAATGAGTTCAAATTTTCTGCCCAATTTTTTCGGGCTCAAATAAATTGTGCTCAATATAATGGCACACAAATTTTTGGGAACTAAGGTAATCGATGTTTTGATGATAAACTATTATAAAGGTGACTACAAATTAAGTTAGGATCGTCGTACTAGAAAATAATTATTCTGTAAATACGCGTTGTTTCACTGAATCACTCTGGTCCTTCAATTTTCTCTCTACAATTGACTATGCATAGACAATATTTTTTTGAACGACCATTTACAACTTTTTTGGCTATTGAAAATTTATGCCAACTGAACTATGAATATGCTAGGAAATATGAACATGCTAGCTCTTCTTATTTTGTGAGTTGGGCGACATCTTGGGTTGCACTGGACCTAACAAGTTTATTATCGGATGTCGTACTTATATTTCGCTTTATTCGCTGTCCACTTTAGACAGTGATCCCTCCCGACTTCGTTATGTCATAGATTATTTAAATACACCGTCTTTCTGCGACCTGTATATTTAGCTCTAGTCTGAATTTGACATTCATTGAGCACGGAGACCGGAGTCAGCCGCCTAATATATATATATATAATATGAGACCGTACATATTTAGTGCTTTAAACGGAACCAACTTTTCAATCAAATGTCTGCAGCAAATCAATTTGAATCACCTGGTGGCTGGTGGATTCGTGTAGTGTTATTGAGTCTCATGATTTGATGTTTCTTTCATTCAAGTTTCTGATTGTTTCTGAATAGACTCAGTGAAGACACATTCTAATGAAAATAAATAGCTGAATAACGTATCGAAATTTCTACGTCATACTCATATTCTGAAATAGTGTTAATTCAATCCTCGATCGTTATAATTGAATTAACACTATTCCAGAATATGAGTATGACGTAGAAATTTCGATATGTTATTAAGCTATTTATTTCCATTAGAATCTGTCTTCACTGAGTCTATTCAGAAACACTCAGAAATTTGAATGAAAGAAACATCAAATCTGAATCACCTTTCATCCAAATATCTGCTGCAATTCAATCTGAATCTACATAGAAATGAACACTCGAAGGAACAGTTTTGTACATCGGGCTTTCAGGTTCGTACTTCTGATGCTTTACATAGTGTTTTTGTGGCTTGATAGTTGGGGTCACTATTTTAAGAAGGAAGTAGAAACCTAGAAGCAGGACCAGGAGGGCTAGAAGATGTATTATGAACAAATCCGTCACGTACCTGCGTTGGAAATCGGTTAAACGCTGATGTAGCTCTAATGTTTTACATAAACTTAACTTAGACAGCTAATTATATACTTTAAGTGTTAATTAATCTGTCAATATGAAATGTACTTACATCATAGCACCCATATCCATCAGATCGAGTGCTGGTATGTCCTCATGACCAGGCGGGTATAGTAGAAACCCTGCCTGTGGTTAAGTAATCATATTACGTTATTGAATACATTACAATGAAATCAGTTGTGACAGGTTTTTATGAACTGTTCAGTATTTTGAACATTTAAAAAGTTGAATTACTCAGTAAACTTTTAAGGACCTGTATTGAAATATCGGATAAATAAAAACGATTATTACCTGAATAAACCAAGTTCCGTGGAGCATGACTGATATCGAGTAAGCGATGCTTATTATAGGATTAGTGGATTTCCATCTAGCCAAGAGTGCTGTCACTGCACACAGCAAACAAGCAGCCACCAAGCAAGTGTGTATCTGGTTTATTTGTATGCGTTAGGCAAAATAGATTCGGCTGTGCCCAAATAAATTACGTGAAAATAATTATGGGGGGGGGGGGGGGGGGGGGGGGGGCCAACCATATTAAAGTATATTAAAGTATATCCCCGGGTCAAAATCGGAAAAAATCCTACATTTTAATATACTTTAATGTACCTACAATTAGAAGATTTATATTCTTCGTTAAGATTTACATAATGAACTATATTTTTCACTCAGATTCGCAAGATTTTTTTTAAAATTTTTTATTAAATACTTTTCAAATTTTACAGAGTACAGCAATAGATGAATATAAAATAGAATCGTTCAAAATATCGCCCCCATCTGTAAAATATGATGGGCACCCAAACACGGTAAACACATAGTGAACTATGTCCGCAGTAACTTGGACCCATTACATCGAATCAATCTAAATCCAAAAATTTATGAAAAACTATTTAATAACAAACAAATCCATGGTGAATAACTGTGGATATATAGTCAAAATTGGTATTTCAATACGTCAAATTCCAGATACATAAGATACAGGTCTGATATGGTCATTAATGTGTGAGGTGTGCGGGTGAAGTGTGATATGATGTTGAAAGTATAGGAAGGTAGATAAAAAGTTAATAAAACAAAAATAATAATAATATGGGGAGCAAAGAAACTAGGCTAGGCTGTTGTTTCACTATCCAATAAACATTTCCATAGATGCTTAGTGACCTCAGCTTTGAAAACACTAGTAGACACAATCTGTCTTACCTGTAAAGGGAGTCCATTCCACAGTATATGAGTTCTGTAGAAAAATGACTTTGCCAGTGGGCTATTTGAGGTACATAAGGTGTGTGAATTCTGACTTAACTTAGGTAAAATTGATGACACAATAGACAGACTGTCGAGGTGGCAACGTCTTAGTCGAGAAGTGCCCTGATATAAAGTGAGATAGTGAGGCAGCGATACAGGAATTAAATTGTTCAGAACTTTGTGGAAAAAAATAAGATCATTCAAGTCAAACTTTTGAGACAAAGGGAGAATGTCGACAAGCTTGCACTTTTTGACATATTGCTCAGATGGATAACTGCGGCCCTCTTCAGACAGAATCCATTTAATAGCTCTCTTTTGGAGACTTTCTAATTTATCACTAAGTGATTTATTACAAGGGCGCCAGATTATGGAACAATTTTCGAATTGGCTACGAACTAGGGAGAGGTAAAGCGCCCGGCGACGTTTCAGATCAATGAAAATATGGCCATCTCTTCTGACCATACCAAGTTGTTGGCAGGCCTTAGTATAAATTCTGTCGCACTGACTATTCCAACTTAGCTTAGGAGTAACATCGACTCCAAGATCTTTTTCTAACTCTATATACACAAGAGGAGAGCCATCAAGATTATATGCGAATGGAGGAGATAAAGATGGTTTTCCTGAAACAATAAGCACTTTACATTTTGCTGGATGGAATCGCATTTTGTTTCTAAGTGCCCAGTCAGAGAGATAGTCTATATCCATTTGTAAATTGGTATTATCAGAAGATGAATGTATTTTACGCCAGATTTGTGTATCATCGGCATACAAAACAATATCAGTATTATCCGAAAGGCCAAGAGGAATATCATTGATAAACAATACAAAAAGTAAGGGACCAAGGATAGAGCCCTGGGGGACACCAGAATTAACTGAGAGGGTAGATGACATCTCATTACCAATAACCACTCTTTGGTAACGGCCTTGAAGGTAATTGGTAAGAAATTTGAGAAGTGTACCATCAATGTTATATAAGGTCTTTAGCTTATGAAGAAGGATATCATGATTTACAGAATCAAATGCCTTAGCAAAATCAAAATACACAACATGATTCCTCGTCAACGGCGGAACCCTCTACGATGGGGACGGGGAGAAACGTACGAGTTCGACAACACGAAGGAGTACGTTACGAAGACCGCCATGCTCGTGACATTGGATTGCTATCCATGTCCAAGAAGAGTCAGACAAACGAAGAAAGATCCTATCAAACTCGCTCGACATATCCTTTTTTCGGCTAAAGGTGGGGCTGGCACCGACCCCCACCTTCTCCTTATGAGGTGCGGAGATATAGAGACGAACCCCGGCCCAGTGATAGTAAGGGGAAAAGTGGCATTCCGTTGGATTTGAATGTTCACAAGGATTTCTCAACGGAATATGGTAGTTAAGACCCCTACGAACATAATTAGACTTGTTGCCAATTTTGTATCTCAACAGAAACA